CACACACACACACACACACACACACACACACACACACACACACACACACACACACACACACAGAGAAATGTAAAATAGATGGAATGAAAATACATCGTGACACAAAAATAAATAAATAAAAATAAAAATATGGACACACAAGTGGATCTGCTGTCCGTCACAAACTGATAATTAAATTAATTATGAATGGAAGCTGCAAAATATGACATCATCCATCAGAATTAGGACTGGAGCTCTGAATATAAATAAATCATATTTCAGTAACTGGTCTCCTGACTCCAGTAACAGAACCCTTCATATTTACAGACAGGTTTAAAAAAATAAACCGTCAAAGATGGAGGAGCATTGTGCTCCTATTGGTCAGCATCACAACATTAAGGAAGTTCTGCTGACCTGCCGGTTTGTAATGTCTTTTCCAGCAGCTGTTTTCACCGTTTAGCCAGAACTCAGCACCAAACACAAAGTGACGGAGCTGAAAGGTGACAGTTATTTAAAATGTTATTTATGATTTTTATTTTGTTTGCTCTGCTGCCCCCAAGTGGCCAGAAATCAGTGAATTAAAGCTTTAAAGGTTTAAGTTTTCTTGCAAGAAATTAAATAACCTGTCAGTGCTTGAACACATTTACACTGAGAATAAATTAGTAATAAAAAAATAGCAATATTTCTTCTTCAAGAACAGCAAATATTTCTCTCAAGCTTTTTTAATTCTGTCCTTCTAGTTATTCTATTCTGCTTCATTTTATCTTTATGAAAAAAAGATCCATTTATTGTATTTTTTTTAAATTTAGCTTTTTACTTATTGAGGTATTTATTTTATTCTACTTTTGAGCTTCCACTCCAGAGTTAGTCCACTGTAAATATTGTTATTGCTCAGGTGAGGTCCAGCTCACGCTCTTCACAGTCCCGAGCGGAGACACATGAAACACGACGCTGACCCGGTGCAAAGCAAAGTCTGTCGCACAACGAGCAGCATTAATGACAAGTCAAGCAGCAGCCTTACCTCCAGCCTGAGCCGACGTTAGGACCAGCTCCGTGTTTATCATCAGGCAGAGTCCGAGTGACGAGGCTTCTCCTCCTAAAGCCGTCCAGCAGATTAGAGAGGCTGACGGACGCCGGTGAGAACACCGAGGGATTAGACGCAGAGGAAAGTAAGGGCCGGGCCAGACGAATGGAAATCACATCAGACTGAGTCACAGCACCTCGCCGTACCCCCTTTAATCCTGTTAGGGGGCTTCCAGGAAGCCAGCGGAGCGAGACCAGCGAGCTCCAGGCCGGTGGAGGCCGAGGGTGCAGACGGGGGGAGGGATGGTGTTTGTCTGTGATACAGCTTCATTCTGATTCACGCAGTAATCACTAAACATCCACCAGATCCAGAAGGTTAAAGTTAGAGTTTGGGTTACACTTTAAAAAAACTCAAATGAAAAATCTGTAAAATGTAAAAATGTCTTTTAAGAGCTCATTTTTCTCACGGTTCCAGTCGCGTCTCATCATTTTCCACACACATCGGCTGTGACTTCATGTCAAAAACTTTGTGTTGTTGAAGAGATATCGGCTAAATGTGAAGTAGGGCTGGGCTGCACCTTCTTTCCAGGTAATACCAGTTTGTACCACAAGATGGTGCAGTGAGTGAGTGTAAGCTTTATTTAACAAAGCAAACCATTAAGAGAGGATACTGAGGATACTGTGCGTCATGTACAAACGAGGCATCAGGTTCTGTCTAATGGCTAATGAAGAGCCAACAGCCACAGCTACAAGCTACAAGCTAACACTTAACATGTGGCCCAAAGTGACGTGTGACTGAACTGATTTCAGCCTTCGTGCTTTTAATCCTGTGAGTACCACTAACCTAATCCTACAGTGTCGGGACAATGAACAGACGCATTAAAACCCAACAAGTCCTGTTGTTTTGCCGAATAAAATGGTCAGCAGCGCCATCCTCCGTCGCCATCACTGTCAAAGGCCACGAGTTCTGCTCAGAGTTTATTCTCAGTCTCTGTCGGAGGAATGGTTCACAGCTCCTCCTGCCTTAAGACAGCTTTCGTCTGATTGGCTGGCCCCTCAGAAACAGAAGTTTCAAGCAGCAGATGGGCGGGGCTTGATATCCTCTCTTGACATCATTCAGACCCATGAGTAGAAAAAGTTAAACTGAGAGTTTACATACATTCTTATATAGTTCTATACTGTGTATTGTGTATTTTGTTGTAGTTATTTTATTTTCAACTTTAATTTATATATTTTATTTTATTCCTTCCTAGTTAAATTGACCCTTTTTAATTTTCATATTCATTTCCTATCTTATTCATAGTCACGAGCAGTTGTCTAAGCATTTCACTGCATATCGTACTGTGTATGACTGTGTATGTGACAAATAAAATTTGAATTTGAGTTTAGGGGTTACCGAGCTCATCATTAGAAACGTCGGTCATAATCAGAGCATCCGGTCCTGGAGCCGGAGATATACGACAGGAAGTGAGGAAGAGCAGCCGCATTCATGCTGACGATGAGGGCGTGCAGGTAAATGGAGACCTCGGGTCCAGACAGCCTCCTGCGGTGCTTTTGTCTGCTATCGATCCAGACAGAGGTACACGCGGGATTAATGCCCGAGGGCTGTTAAAGGACCCGGCAAAGAAAGCGATCGATGGACTGGTGAGCGGCCCCTCGCTGCCGACCTGAGCAGGATTAGAGAGGGGCCCCCGGCCCCATTTAACACAATGCACACCAAGGTTCACAAATAGACCCAGACAGACACAACACGAGCCGAGCCAGACTGGGAGCCGGGACAGGAAGTGGCTCTCCCCCTGTGCATTTTAACATCTGCTGTCAAAGGAATTATCACGAAGGAATTCCCAGTGATGTGCTTTTCCTCTGGGCTTTGTTAGCAGCAGCCTGGGAATGAATAACAGGCGGGATTGAAGGGAAAGGAGGAGAAAGAGAGGCCAGGCAAAGAAAGTCCTCCCACCTCTCTCCCTCTGATCCCAGCGGGACTTTTATCTGAGCTCACGTGTGGACGATGAATGTGAAAGACTCCATCTGCTGCTGGTCACTGCTTGTTACAGATGCTGCTTTAATCCACAGATGGAAACCTTCACACCATGCTTTTACTAAAATACTATATTTGTAAGAATCCAACACACCTGAGTCTCACAATGACGGTGACGCAGCCTCATTGGTGTAAATCACAAAGATCTGTGGCCCATGATTATTTGTACTTGACAATAACAGTTTGTTCTTGTATGAACCTCCTACTAGAGATGGACCGATCCGATATTACGTATCGGTATCGGTCCGATACTGACCTAAATTACTGGATCGGATATCGGAGAAAAATAAAAAATGTAATCCGATCCATTAAATATCACGAAAGCACCTCACAAAACTTGCAACACGCCGTAACTCACCTCAGAACGTTAGCACGTCGGAGCAGTATGCATCACGTGATAGAGCGGCTGTGGCATGCGGGACCTGTCGGTGGTCTGGATAGCATTTGGAGCTTCGCTAGCAACCCGGCATTTCATCTCCGACAAAGTTATCCCCGAGAGAAGTAAAGCAAGTGTGTAAGTCCATCTCTGAATGTTTGTAAAGCATTCCTGCGTTAAGCTTAACGAGCGACTGCCTCTGCTCTCCGGCTGCTACTTCAATCGTGAAACTGCTTAATGATCAGCTGATCGGCTTTTCTGTTGTTTGTTTTTGGCCCACTTTGCACCAGAAAGAGGAAACCAGCGGCTGAACAACAGCAGCACGTTTAAGCTTGATCAGCTGTTGTTAGAATTTATTTAATATTACTTTCTACACCAGGATCTTTTTCTACGTAGCTGACGGCTGGTAACTGTGCAGGGGCGGATCTAGCAAAGTTTAGCCAGGGGGGCCGATAGGGCATGAACAGGGAAAAGGGGGCACAAAGACATACTTTTCTTTCTTATTCTCATTTAAAATGTCTAGCTTTTAATAAATAATTATCTGACACCCAAAGTTTTAATTTGATGTAAAATGAATAGAAGTCAATTACTGTATATAGTGACTATTAAGTCTAATATATATACCCTAGTAAGCTATAGTACTTTTTCCTTTGGGAAGGTACCATCTGTGCAGTCTGCAATTTTGTTGAAGAAAGATGTTGAATCTATTTAATATTTCTTGAAAAATAATTGATTTCTGTGCATTTTTTTTCACACTGCATCAAATTAAGGTTGATTACGTCGATTAAGCATCATGAGGTGGAGCGTGAGGGGTGGTTCCCTATTTTTTATTTATTTATTTTTGTTGTTGCTGGGAGTTGGAACCCTATTAGTTAGGTTGCTTAATATTTATGCTAAGTACTCTTTAAAATACCAGAATAGGGAGGATGGTGTAGGTTTAAGTTTATTAGATTGATCAGTATTGCTGAACTATGAAATATTTTTTTTGCATACAGGTATAACAGAATAGCTTTAGTGTAGTTGTTGTTTTAAACTTGAGTATGAACTTATACAAAATGCAGCAAGATATTTAAAAAACAGTTTTGTTGATTAAAAAACACTATATCGGATTCATATCGGTATCGGCAGATATCCAAATTTATGATATCGGTATCGGACATAAAAAAGTGGTATCGTGCCATCTCTACCTCCTACAAAGCCCTGCGGTCGCCTTCAGTCTGACCGGTGTTTGCACAAATCAGTCAAATCAAAACTAATTTAATAAAAGAAATCCACCCAGCGGCTGCTAGCTTTAAAAACAGGAAAGAAAAAAATGGAGTAAATTCATCGAGAGACAGTTTTCTTCTTTTTCCGCATCACAGAAACCACATTTCCTGTTGTTCACCAAATTCAAATGAATCCACACTCCGGATTTGAAGCCATAGGCGAGGTTTACATTAAGACTGAGCTGCTACTGGGCCACTAAAATCAAGAGGAAAAGACGTGAGTGACAGATGCACATGTGTTGATATCATTTTATGTGAAGAGGATACCTTTTTAAATCTGAGAGATGTCTATGATGGGTGAAAACCCCACAAACTTCAGCAGTGTTCTTTTCCAGATTTAGATGAACGTTTTGGTGAAGTCAGCAGGTGTGACATCGCTGCTCTGATTGCTTCACATCTCGGCTGTTAGGAATTTATCCATGTTTGGGAAAACCAAGTGAAGAAACTTAAGTGTGCGTCAAACTCATTTCGCAGCGCTGTGATCTGATGTGGCACCGCTGAAACTTTCTGTCAGTGTACAAATGTCTGAGCTATCTGAATATGAGAGACAGTCTCACTTTCTCTACGCGATACGGCGAAGCTGATGCTGCTGTTGTACAGAAAGACATCTGTCAGCAGGACTCTTTGGGCCTGAACTTAGGAAGTAAATGTATAAGATACAGAAATCTGTAACTTAATTACTGTGGTGCTTATTCTGGCCCACGGGCCTGACATTTAAAACCTGTCCTGTAGTTGAACCTGTGGGTACCTCTGTGTCCAGGTGTGGAGGCCTAGCTCCACCCACCACACTACCTGCCGGTGGCTGATGCCCTCAGCCGTCGGCGTTCGGGGCCCGGCACTCGGGCGCGTGCCCGGCTCACTCCCAGCGGCTGCTTGGCAGGCCTGGCGCCCACGGCCGTGTCGGGCTCCTTCGTGGAGTGGGGTTCCCTCAGGCCTCTGGGACCGTGGCTCGGCCCGCTCTGGTGCGACTGGCGGGGCCTGCGGGCTCTGTGGCTTCTGCACCGTGGTTGCTGGGCGACCCCACGTCTGTGTGGTTGTCTCTGTATCGTGTTGTTTTCTTGTTGTTTTCTCTTCTTTTAACAGGTGATCAGCAGATTTTCTGTGTCTTCTTCCACTGTCCTTCCTCTGTTTTCTTTCTCCCTTTCTTTCTGTATAGTGGTCTGTCCAACTTGTAATAACTTTAAATTAAATTAAATTAATAAACAATGATAATATAGATCAATCAAGTGGAACAAGCCTAACCCTATGCATTGGCATATTTTGTGAAAAAATATGGCCTTCAGAGAACCTGTGGGAGGAGCTACTTTTACCTTTGAAGCCAAAAATCCCATTTAAAAATCTTCTGCCTTTGTTTTTACTTTGTTCCTCCTGCACACGTCTGCAGAGAAGCAGCTTGGCTGAGTGAGCTGTATGCAATAAGAAACATGTGTCTGTCAGGTGTAGGCGGGGTTCAGGTGTTCTCGCGAGGATTTGATTTGAATTCTGCTGAGGCCGAGTCAACATTTCGGAGCGCTTGTGTCAGAAATAGAAAGTGCGGCGCTCTGAGGAGGGACTCGCACGGGGCTCCTGGGACCGTTTGAAGTACAGAAAGGGGGTCGGGGAGCGTTTTATCTCGGGGACGTGACGGTTTGATGCTCGCAGACCTTTCAAGGAGCTTTTTTTAAAACACAGATAAGAGGATTGGCGAGTGGCTCGAGAGGAGCCGTCAAAACAGGCCGAGAGACAAAAGCTCCACAGACCGAGCTGTGGCCGCCCGGAGGCTCGTCTGTACACCACTTTTTGCTCGTCGTGTTTCCAGACACAAACGTCTTTGCGACTTTCTGTGTGTGACGGTCATGCATGACACACGCGTGTTCTTCTGCACTAGTCATCTTTCAAAAAAAGGGGCGTCTCCATTAAAGGAAGAGCCCGCCAGCTTTTAGAGGCCTAATCTGTGAAGAATGCTCTATCAGCGCACTATCAGCAGCTCCTCCAGCAGAGGAAGGCTGATGTCTCTCGGGTTTTAAATGGATCCTGAGGACAAGAGAGGACCGAGCGCGCCAAGTGACTCGTGTCAAGTGGACATCCTTATCTCCCAAAGATGGGCGACTCTCTCTCTCTCTCTGGAAGGCAGCGGCGGCGAGCGCTCAGGCTCAGAGCAGCTGCAGGTTCAGAGAAGGACGGAGCTTCTTGATTGTAGCGTCCTGGCTCCTCTGTCATAAACAAACCGCGCGGCCCACATCGAGTCTGCGTTGGGGAGCTCTCAGGAGGTGGACCGCTCTGGAGCAGACTGCTCCACTCCAGGCAGCTTGTCCCTCCTCGCGGCCGCCGGCAGCCGGGGGCCACCATGACGGAGTGGACTCTGCTCAAGCGCCTCCTGGACGCCGTGCACCAGCACTCCACCATGATTGGCCGGCTGTGGCTCACCGTCATGGTCATCTTCCGGCTCCTGATCGTCGCCGTGGCCACCGAGGACGTGTACGCCGACGAGCAGGAGATGTTTGTGTGCAACACGCTGCAGCCGGGCTGTTCCACCGTCTGCTACGACGCCTTCGC